GGTAAGTTGCCTGACAGATATAACTATCGATCTCACATATGATCGATCACATATTAACAGATTAATTTATGACTTTACATTGCATTTTCAGATAATTATAAAAGTACAAGAAAAAGAGGAAAAATATTTAGATGTACCTATTCTTGCTTTACCGCGTTACTACTGTTCATCGAATAGAACGTATGTTATCTTAGGAGGATTGGGTGATTTCGGTTTGGAAGTAGTAGACTGGTTGGTCACGCAAGAAGCCAAGAACCTCGTATTAATCTCACGCGCTGGAATAAAAAACGGTTACCAGCATATGAGGATTAGGCGATAGANATATATTTTGAGAGCAGCAGAGGACCTTGCGCCGGTAGACGCCATATTCAATCTTGCTGTAGTATGAAACGACAAAATTTGTTAGAATCACACGATAGAGACCTTCCAGGAACCTTTCAAGAAGAAAGCATGGGCTACGAAGAACTTAGAGCAATTATCAATAAAAATCTATTCACAATTACGACATTTCGTCATCTTTTCTTCTGTATCGTGCCGTAGAGGCAACGCTGAACAGAGCAATTACGGTACGGCATATCATGGAAAGAATCTGCTAGAGGAGATCACAGGAAGGCTTGAAAGGCTCAACAATTCAGTGGGGCGCAATTGGCGATGTCGGTATTGTTGCCGATATGTAAGACAACGACAAGATGGTCATCGGCGGTACATTGCAGCAAAAAATAAAATCCTGTATCGTAAAGTTTGGAATTTCTAATGCAGAAACTGTCCGTAGTGGCGAGTAAGGTTGTAGCTGAGAAGCGCTTGGACATCAGCACGATTAGTATTGTTGATACTGTGGCTAAAATTATGGGTAACTATAATCAGTAATATTAATAATAAAATCGGCATACATAAGTAAAAATAGTTTCACAAAAAAAACTTATTTAATTAAAATTAAATTATCTGCGACTTTTTGCGGAAAGATATGAAAATATTACTCAGATATTTAAACGTAAGCTGCTTATCGCTTCCAGCTGTGATTGAGCGTGATGAACGCTGCTATAAATGCAATATTAACTTCATTCTATTAATGGATGACAAACTTGATAAGAGTAGATAACGTAGAATGATTTTCAAAATGTTATGTTACTTAAACATTTTGTCATCATCTTTGGTATCCCCTTTCAAAAAGAAATTCGACAAAGCGGGCAAAAATTTTGAATATTTGTTTATACAGGTTTGAAAGATATGAAAATTGTATCTAGTTATACATGTTTGTCTGAACTGGGGATGGATTTAATGATGGCAATGGAAATTAAACAAACCTTGGAACGAGAGTATGATGTCTTCTTCACTTCTCAGGATATTCGTAATCTGTTTTGTGAGACTGTTTGCTGAAATATTTGACGAAGAAGAACGAAATGAGAAACGGCGTTCTGATAATGCTTCGGATGCAAACGATTTGAATGGCTTAAAATTATTCGCTTGTGTGTTAGGAAGAGATGACTTAAGAACCAAAGTTTATATGAATCTGCCGACGAAGGGCTATAAAACTAAAAGCGAGATATTTTTATTGTCGGGATTTGAAGGTTGCGGAAAGATTTTTAAGCTGCTAGAGCCAAAAATCGAAGCCCCAACAACGTGTACCAGGTGTAGAAGTATGAAACTGGAAATTTTTTGTAAAAATTACACGTCTGTTGTTTGAAAATAATAAAAAATATTATATTCGAAATAATGTCCAATGCTATTTATAAATTTTTCCCACCTCTCCGGCAGTTTATGAATGCCACGCCAAAAAAACATTTCTTCTTTTGAAGCGAACCAGCTATCGAACCATTTTCGTACATTTTCATACGAATTGAAGCGTTGTTCAGCGAGAGCGTGTCCCATTGATGCGAATAGATGATAATCGGACGGAGCCAAGTCTGGAGAATAAGCCGCATGCGTTAGAATTTCCCAACTGAACGCCTCGATCGTTTCCCTGACCCGTTTTGCTGTATGTGATGAAGCATTATCATGAAGCAAAATGACTTTGTGTTACCTTTTTCCATATTTCGGTTGTTTTTCACGCAATGCTCGATTTAAATCGATCATTTGCTGTTGGTAGCAATCAGAGTAAACGGTTTTACCAGGTTTTAGCAGCTCATAATAAATTACACCCTTCTGATCCCACCAAACACAGAGCATTGTCTTCTTTCCAAAGCGATTGCAGTGGATGTTGATGGTTCGCCTGGATTCACCCATGAT